TGGACTCGGTGAGTTGGAGGCCCGACTCGCCGAGTAGAGACGAGACTTTGGGGCGCGGTTAAGATGTCGACTCGACGAGTCCATATTATGGACTCGGCGAGTCCGTGCTGTCTGATAAAACCCTAATTTCCAAGGGTTTGCACCCTATTTAAACACCCATTTGCACCCCCAAATCCGCCCCCATTCACCCCCAGAAGCTCTCCATACGTTCTAGCTCTTGTTCTGGTGAGTTTGAGGCATTTTAGTGTGTGTTCTTGAAGATTTTGAGACGGAGGTGGAGTAGATCAAGAGGAAGGGAAGGAAGCCAAGCATCTTAGTGTTCTCTCAGTGATTTCTTTGAGGTAAAACTTGTTTTTCCCCCTGTCTCTATGCTTATAACTCCATTAAAGTCTTCCTTGAGCCCTTCCCCAAACTTGTATGTGCATTATATTTTGTAATAAGTTGATTGGCCTCTAGATCTAGGCATGGTTGAGCTCCAAGAGCTCAGATCTACTACCTTTGTGGAACCATGTTGCTTGAAGACCTTAGATCTACACTTTTCGTGCATTTTGAATCCTAAAACCCTCATGGATGAATATTTACATGTAAAGTTGGAAATTTTACGTGTTATTCATGCTCTACGAACCCAGATCTATGAATGGCATGGACTAGATTCGAGCAAAATCGCATATATGGCTCTTGCATGAAGCAGACTCAGTGAGTCGCTCATCTGACTCGACGAGTCTAGTCGCGAGTCTCCGAGATTGTCCCCTTTTAGCTGTATCGAGTTGTGTAGTGAATCCAGGGTGGACTCGGTGAGTTGCGAGCCAAAACTCACCCATAATGGAACTCGGCGAGTCGATGCCCAGACTCGTCGAGTTTAAGGCAATCTCCTTAGATCAAGATCAGACACGGCGAGTTGTTTATACAACTCGGCGAGTCGCAGCATAAGTGTTCAACGGATGAAGATGTACTCGCCTAGTTGTTCATACAACTCGGCGAGTAGGATGAAGGACTTGAACATCAGTTTGGATGGAGAACTCGTCGAGTCAACGCCTAACTCGACGAGTAGAAACAAAATCCAGGTCAGTAGATTAGACAGGGACTCGGCGATTTGGCGAGCCAACTCGGCGAGTCGGGTCAACTGGAAGTTGACTCTGACTTTGACTTAGGGCATGATCAGGGGTAAAATGGTCTTTTTACCCAAAGGACAGTTAGCAGTATTTGATTGAGTAAGTTGTGGGAATTGCAGCAGGAGGATTTCTGGAGCAGCATCAGCAGCAATAGACAGTCAGTTCCCAATTAGATCAACAGCTACTCCGAGGTGAGTTGCCTTCCAGTAGCGGTGGGTCTAAGGCCACAATGCCGGCCGACCAGTAGGAGATGTATGATAGATGATTGTCTTTGTGATATCATCTAGGTTTTCTACTACTTGATATGTTATATGCTAGCATGATATGTTGTATGTGATAGTAGTAGAGTTCGGTTGTTAGGACCGAAGGGTAGTCGAACACCCCATATATGTCTGATATTATGTTTGTGTTATGATATACGTGATGGTAGTAGTAGGGGGTGAAATAGTCCTCGAGGTTTGGTTGTTAGGACTGAAGGGTAGTCAGCACCCCAGAATAGCTTGACATGGGTAGGTCAGCGCCCCAGAACGGCTTTACACGGGTAGGACGGCACCACAGAATGGCCACATGGGTAGTCGGCACCCCAGAATAGCCGTACCGGGTAGTCAGGCACCTAGAATAGCCTGGCAGTATGTATGTTATGTATTGTATGGTATGTGGTACGATAGGGGAACTCACTAAGCTTTGTGCTTACAGTTTACAGTTTTGGTTTCAGGTACCTCTTCATCAAAGGGGAATGAGCTGGCAAGGTAGCGGCACATCATGCACATACACTAGTTTCCGCATCTATTAGATTTCTCTGGGAATTATACTATGATATTTCGATTGGTTGTTTGATTTGGCTTTTAGACATGGTTTACGTTGTGATGTAGTTTGATCAAACAATGTTTTTAATTATTAACGTTTTCTAAAGTAATGTTTTAAAAAGGAAATTTTTGGACGTGAAAATTGGGTCGTTACATCACATAAAAAAATTACTTTGCAAATATATATATATATATATATATATATATATATATATATATATATATATATATATATATATCGAGAAACAATTTTATTGCGAGAACAGTTGAGAACAAAAACCACCTTTAAATTTAGAAGGTGACATTTTTGTCATTATTTTAAAATTTGGATGCAAACATGCAGCGTTTAAAAATCGACAAGGGTGGAATTGTAAATATCAAAACTTTCCGTCTAGCTGCTAAATCATGTGCATACATCACGTCTCTTCAATAATCAAAATTCAAAACCCTCTTTCTCTCAACACAAAAACCTCATTTCTCTCTCAAATTTTGATGGATTTTCAACAAAAAACACAAACTGTTTTCATTGATTTTCGTTGAATCAAACACGAAAACACTTCAAATGTCGTTAAAAACAGCAAAATCGTCGTTAAAACCTTCATCTAAAGGTATCAAAAGTCATGTTGATGTGTTTTTCAGCAATGTAACTCGATTTTCATGATTATCAAGATTTTCTACTGTTTTAAACACTAAATTTGTACTATTTTAAAGTTTTTTTTGAATGGAAATCCTAGTTTTTTTATGTCGATCAAGTTATTGAAGGTTTTCTATTTTGATACCACTCGATTTTATAACTATATCGAGTTTTTCTACTGTTTATTATATCAATATACACGAAATTTTCATTTATTCAAAAGTTTTAGTGTACTGAAAAACTAGTTTTCGATGTCGAACAAATTATCGAATGTTTTCTTTTTAATAACACTCGATTTTACAACTATCAACGATTATCTTCTCGATTTAGTATTCTGTTATTCATGTATTGAGTAAATAAAGTATGTTTGAACTTGTAGAAGTTACTAAAATGTTTGAAAAAAAATATTCCAAAAGAAGACATATACAACAAACATGCATGAAGGTGATAAATCATAGGTTGTAAATGACTATGTTCAATCATATATGATTTGCTGATGAATTCTTACATATAATGATTGCGTGCAATTATATGCTTTGTTGATGTTATAATCTCCAAAGAATCGAATCACATTTGATTACATTTATACATATAACAAAATTGAATCACATGTGATCACAATCTATATACACAATATTATTTATTTCTTAAGACTTGAAATAATCATATATGATTTTCTTATAATGCATGTATTTATACATTTCAGAAACCGATAAAGAGACTAGTCCTCAAAAATTACAAAAGTAACATCCATAAGACAAAATCAAAATGGTAATACTTAAATCATTCAATTATCAGTTGTGACTCATATATTTTATGTGTATAATCAAATATGATTTGCTAATTATATCTATATTTTTTTTTTCCAGAAAAAAAAAGGAAAAACCTTCACAAAAAAACCTACTGAAAGTAAAACAATAAAAAAAATCACCAACAAAGATAGTTGAAAAATGTATATGTCAATCACAAATTATTATAAAACAAAAAACAAACACTCTGTTATTAATCAAATATGATTCATATCTTTTATGTACGAAAAATAGATTCAATAACATGTGATTATTATTTGTTATAAACATTATATGTACAGTAAAGATATTTAATCACATATGATTAAAATTGACTTTGTGACTTTTTGATTATATATGTATTTTTATATCTCAGAAAGTCTAAAACAAAAGGACAAAAAGGGGAAAAAGGAGTAACAGAAGAAATACAGGGAAAAACATAAGAAAAGAATGAAAAATGAAAAATAAAAACAAATATGATTATACACATAAACATAAAACACTCTTTTTTTAATCAAATGTGATTACAATATTTTATATATACAAAATATATACAATCACTTGTTCTTGACATTTATCACATAATAATGTATGTTTTATTATAATAACATTGTTTTATACTTTGTGATTTATGTCTATATTTATATGTCTCAAAAAAATCTATAGCAAAAGGAGAAAGAATAATTGAAGAAGAAACAACAAAAGGATGTCTAAACAAAAACAGGAAAAAGGTATAACTCAATCACATGTGATTATAATCAATTTATTATTGATTTGTTTGCACATGTGATTCTCATTACAACTATTGTACCATTCGTAAAAAAACAGAGTGAAAAACGAGAAAATTTGTAGCTTTAAAAAGAGAAAAACAGATTGATGATGAAAGTGAAGATTTTGGCTCCAAAAAAAGGTTAAAAAGAGAAGAAAGACAAAGATAGTGAAAAAGCATGTTGACCTAATCAGAAACAGGTATATTTTTGTGATTACCATCTTTAATATATTGTGTTATAAATCACATATGATTAACATATGCTATGATAAAAGGCATTTATATATACAAAAGAAAAAAAATCACATGGGGTTATATTTACTGTATTTTTCAGTTAAATCACATTTGATATAAAATATGAGACATATGTAATTACATATGATTCTGATAATCTTATATATATATATATATATATATATATATATATATATATATATATATAGAGAGAGAGAGAGAGAGAGAAAGAAAGAAAACAAAAATCACATGTGATTTAAATATCATAAACACATAATCACATAGGATTTTGATAATCTTTTATGTATACAAAACACATAAATAATATGTGATTATCTTTCTTGTGTTTTTCTAGTAAATATCACACATATATACTAAGTTCATTAATTCTTATAATCACATACGAATTTAAATCATCATTTATTGTATTTGATTATAGGTGTTCCCCTGGAGCATTGTTGTCTGTAATGCAAAATTTTAATAATATTCACAAAGAATATGTAAAAAGGAAGGGATTTATGGAGACTTTTAAAAATGAAGTTGCAGAGGTGTTGGGGGGCATTAAGTTGTTCTTTCTTCAGAAGTTTGATTCCACAACCTAAAAAAATTGATCTTAGAAAAGTAAAAATTGATGTGACTAGAGATTCAGTCCATCAAATGCTTGAATTTCCATTGGGAAGCATTGAGTTTTCAAAACTTCCATTCAGAACAAAAGCCGATAAAACCTATGGAGAATGGACAAACCAATTTAAAAACAAGACCATGATTCATCTACAAGAGATAAAGATGAAGATAGTTTCCTCAAAAAAAGCAAATATGAACTTCAAGATGAATTTTATAGCTTTGTTAATCAACTCTTTGGTAAAATCAAGCTCTTCAAGGAAAGCAAACACGCACCCGTTGAACTACATAACAAAGAAGACAAAAATAAACAAAATTGATTGGTGCTCATATTTGATAGAATGTTTGGTTAAAACCAAAAATCCTTTGATCCATCCAGTGCAACAAGCAATTTTAATTGATGCTTATTTTGTGGTACGCTTAATAAATTCTCTTCTATTTCAATATATTATAATAATCACATGTGATTGAATGTATATAAGCACATATGATTGAAAACTATTTTTTTTTAAACACATATCATTTTCATTATATATAACATATTTTATAACATGAATAGCTATAATCACATGTGATTAAAAAAAGTAAATTTATCTATTCACAGATGATTTTCAGTATTTATAACATATATTAAAATCTAAAATAAATAGCGATAATCACATGTGATTTTTAGTGTTTAATACATATGTTAAAAAGAATTATACTTAAAATCACAAGTGATTGACCAAATAAAGTTATATTAAAATATGGATTGTTACAATCACATGTGATTTACTCACGTATTATAGAATTGACAATTTTTTTATTTTTTATTTATTTATTTATTTTTTTTGCAGTTACTTTATGTAGCCAGTATCAAAGTTGAGCTTATAAAAGTTGAAAAAAAACATCCAGTGATCTGCCATTATAGTAAAAAGAAGATGAGGATGAGAGAAAATTATAAGAAAGAAGAGCTGGGAGATTTTGGAACAGGAGAATTGAATGAGAAGTTCATTGAGGAACAGTTGAATGAGGAGGTAAACTTAATTATTATCGTTGTTTAATAATCTTAATATTTAATCGTATATATTAATATATACTTTCATTCATTTGTGATTTAGGATTATAAAAAAATAATTATGATGAAGTTTAAGAAGCTACAAATGTTAACCAATAAGGGGCTTAATCTATTCCATGAAAATGTAACATTAAATAATTTGAAAAATAGTTTGGAAGATATTTTTGATGATGATGATGAAGATAGTGAAGAAGAAAAAGGAAGTGATGATGATGATGATGATAATGAAAATATTGAAGGTGGTGAAAATGATGAAGAAAACGAGGATGGAGGAGGTGAAGGTGGTGAGAATGTTATTGGAGAGGAAAGTGAGGAAGAAAACAAAGATAATGGAAGTGAAGGATGTGATAACGTTATAGGAGGAGTGGAAAACAAATCAGAAAAGAATAATGAAGAAGGGAAAAATAATGAACGAGGAGGTAAGTAATAAAATATTTTTCTGAAATATATATGATTATTATAAACATCTTTATAGAATCTGATACGATTAACTACATATTTTATAATGTTATAGGAGAAAAAAATGAGGAAGAAGACAAGGATACGGAACTGAAAGCGGTGATAACATTACATGAGAAGGAAAACGAAGCAGAAAAGAATAATGAAGGAGGGCCAGATGTTGAAGAAGAAGGTAAGTAATAAGCAATGAATATTGTTTTGAATCATATATGATTATTATAAATATCTTTATAGAATTACATATGATTAACTACATGTTTTATTTATATACAGGTTTTGGTGGAAATGTACATGAAGAAGTTGGACAAAAAGTGTTGACGATAAGGGAAAAAAATGTTCAAAAAACTCGTAAAACTAGTATATATCAGTAATTAATACTTGAATATTAACTGCACATATTATAATTAGATGTGATTATATTCACATAGGATTATCTATGATTACATATGTTATAATGACATAATTATTTTTATAATCACATATGCTTGCATATTTTATAATCAGATGTGATTATATATGATTGCATATATTATAATCACATATAAACATTTTTATAATCATATATGATTGCATATGTTATAATAAGATGTGATTAACAATTTACTATTAATTGTATTCAGGTGTAGAGGGTAACAATCTAGATGGGAATAATGCTGAAACGGGAGAAGGAAAAAATGGAGAACTAACACAAAATGTAGAAGGAGGAGGTAAGCAACAATATACATTTATACAATAGACATGATTACATATGTTATAATCACATGTGATTACATATTCTCTATAAGTGTTGATAATTTTTTGTATAATCACATATGATCATTAACAAAAATATTGATATATATATATATATATATATATATATATATATATATATATATATATATATATATGATATAATCACATGTGATTATATTCATATATGATTATATATCATTACATATGTTATAATGACATATGATTATATTAAGATATGATTCTATATCGTTACATATGTAATAATCACATATGCTTATATTTTCTATAATCACATGGCTAATAATCATATATGATAGCATATATTATAATTGCATGTGAATAAAATTGTTTTTTAATTATATTCTGGTGTGGATGATAAAAACTTGGATAGGAAGAATGTTGAAAGAGGAGGTAAGCAACAATATACATTTTTATACATTTATACAATAGATATGATTACATACATTATAACCACATGTGACTGCATATATTATAATCACGTGTGATTAGATTCAAATATCAATATAATATCTTTGTACAAGTTACGAATAATTAATAAAATTTTCTAATTGTATTAAGTTGTAGAGGGAAGGAATCTGGAGGATAAGAAAACTGTGGAGGGGAAGAATCTGGAAGTTAAGAATACTGATAAAGACAAATGAAAAACTATATATGTATATTGTTTTAGAGGAGGTAAACATGAGTATATATTTATGAATTATATAAGATTACTAAAAATATATTTATACAACCATATATGATTATTAACATTATATTTATTATGTACAGAATTGATGGTAAAAAATGTTGGTGATGAAGAAGTTATTGAATGTTATTATCTGATGAAAATATTGTATTAATTATCAGATAATAATATTTAGTTGTGAATGGGAAGAATATATTATAATCAAGTGTTATAAATCACTGAATAATAATATTCAGTTTTGAAGGGGAAGAATATGTTATCAATTAATGAATACATTCATAAATTATGTATTAAATATTTCAAATTATATTGTTGTGTGTAATTTGTACAATTTAAAAGTCTTTTTGATGTAATTTGATAAGCACATTTGATATGTTTTTGTATAATCACATATAATTATTTAAATGACCAAATGGTTTGTAGCTCCTGGTTCTTGGTACGTATTGTTTTATTAATATTTTTGCATTTTGGCCTTGGACTTAGCGAGTTGAAGGACCAACTCGCCGAGTAAAAGCGGGATGAGACGCGGGGTTTAAGCAGTGGACTCGACGAGTCGGGTCCCAGACTCGTCGAGTAGGCCCTGTCTGGAGAAAAACCCTAACCCGAGGGTTTGCACCCTATTTAAACACCTTAACTCGGCCTCCTTTGTCCCATTTACTCCCAGAAGACTCCCATAGCAAACCCTAGCCGTTATTGAAGCAATCTAAGGCATTTGGAGTGATTTTGGTGCTTTTTTGACCCAAGGAAGGAAGGAAAAGCTTGAAGGATAAATAGGAGGCTAGAAGGATCCGATTTTGAGCATCATTTGCGGTCTATAGAAGGTATAAAGTTTATATCTTATTTGTTCTTTTGATAGATCCCATTGTGTGGAGTTTTAGGGCTTTTCTAAGCCATTTTGGTCACCAATCATGATTGCAAGCATGGTTAGGTGTTGATATTTCAGATCTAGGTCCTTAGAGGGGTTACAAGGCAGAAAGGAGTGGCTCTTGCACTCAAAGAAGGCCCCATGCATTGTAAGAGATTGTTTTAGGACCTTTTGAGCTCAAAGTCCCATGCAAGCACGTAAAGGTTGTAACTTTACATGCTAGATCGATTGTAGAAGCATAGATCTATCTTTTGATCAAGGGATGTACATCAGAAATCAAAGATTTAGTGAGAGGATGTGACCAATTCGACGAGTCCATTGTTGGACTCGGCGAGTCCAAGGTTTCTCTCCCATATCAATTGAGGGTCATAAGGACCCAGTTGAGTGTCGAAAGGTTTTAAGGGGGTCCCGGGGAGTAACCCAACGTTCTGGACTAAGCCATTGATCTGGAAGTTCATGGGACTCGGCGAGTGCATGAGCAGACACGACGAGTCCAACGCAAACTTCTTAAGGATGAAGATGAACTCGATGAGTTGTTCATACAACTCGGTGAGTCAAGGATAAGACTTGTGTATCAGTCGAAGATGAACTCGATGAGTTGTTCATACAACTCGACGAGTCGTGTGAGGATTCAGTCGATGTTCATTTGGAAGGAAAACTCGTCGAGTCATCGCCTAACACGACGAGTAGAGATGGGTATAAGGACAAATGGAAGGATAGGGACTCGGCGAGTCAGGTCAACTAGAAGTTAACTTTGACTTTGATTTGGTCAGGGGTAAAATGGTCATTTTACCCTAAGAACAGTTAGTAGTGTATGACTAAGTGTTTTGTGGGAATTATAGCCGGAGGATTTCCAGAGCAGCAGCGGAAGCAATCATAGGATTCCTGCACATATTAGCAGCTACTACGAGGTGAGTTACCTTCTAGTAGCGGTGGGTCTACGGCCACAATGCTAGCCCATCAGTAAGAGTTGTATAATTATATGATTGTCTTTGTGATATCATCTATGCTTGTTACTACCTGATATGTTATATGCTGGCATGATATGTTATATGTGATAGTAGTAGAGTTCGGTTGTTAGGACCGAAGGGTAGGTCAGACACCCCAGATAGGTCTGATAATATGTGCTGACATGTTTATATGCTGGCATGATATGTTATATGTGATAGTGATAGTAGGAGGGGAATAGTCCCCAAGTTCAGTTGTTAGGACCGAAAGGTAGGTCAGACACCCCAGACATGTCTGATAGTATGTTTATGTTATGATATATGTGATAGTAGTAGTAAGGGGTGGAATAGTCCCTGAGGGTCGGTTGTTAGGACCGATGGGTAGGTCAGCATCCCATAATGGCTTGACATGGGTAGGATAGCACCCCAGAATGGCGCATGGGTAGGACGACACCCCAGAATGGCCGCATGGGTAGGTTGGCACCCCAGAATGGTCGTACCGGGTAGGTCAGGCATCCCAGAATTACCCAACAGTATGTATGCTATGTGATTGCGTGGTATGTGGTACGATGGGGGAACTCACTAAGCTTCGTGCTTACAGTTTACATATTTGGTTTCAAGTACCTCTTTAGCGAAGGGGAAGGAGCTGGCGCGGTGGCGCCACATCATACACACACTCTTTGTTTTCCGCATTATGAGCTATTCTGGGATTTGTACTCTGACGTTATTATGTTTTTACGATTTGATTTTGAGATACAAGACATGCTTTTATTAAATGATATGATCGGTTGATATTTTGATACAAATGTTGTGCAAATCACTTAATCAAAAATGAAATTTTTGGTCATGAAAATTGGGTCGTTACAAGTTGGTATCAGATCCCTGGTTTGAGGGATTCGGACACACCTTCCGGGGTGTTTGGACTCAAACCAAGGGATTAAAAGATTTTTTTCAAGGAAAATGACATTCAAAAAGCTAAGATAAAAGAGTTTTGAGAAGGAACATGTGTGTGATGTGTGCAATCGGCTGAGCTCAAATAAGTATTCCCCATAGTACCCATACCAGTTATCTTATGTTTATCAGTTTCAGTAGAACAACATGCTAGAATAGGACTAAGGATCTAGGAATGATGCCTTATGTGCCTGCTTTATCTGTTTCAGCTTCTGAGAATTGCATGCTAGTATTGAGTAGACAGTAGTAGGATAGCCTATTTAGGTTATGCCTGGTAGTATGAGCTCAGCATTGTATGCTAGTACAGCTTCTCATTATGAGGACATATTTTCTTGAGTAGTTTTCCTGCGTCCAAATGCCACTTGCTTTGTGCTTTGTGGGACTCTGAGTGATGGGAGTTAGCCCTTAGGTGAATACGTCACGTCACATGTGATCAGGGTTGAATAATCTCAGAGTGCTGGATTTGGCCCTATTGCGCAACTCTTGTCTCAGCCTAACCGTTGTAGGGACGAGTCTGTTACTCGAAGGATTATCGGAGCCTCATCACATGTGATGGTATTCAGGTAATGGCTAATTGGCATTACAAGGAGGCATTCAGCAGCTGAGGACCGGTTTGGGTGGAGTTAGATATTTTCCCTAGGGTAAGCCTAGGATGGGAATAGCAAAGAATCAGCAGTGGTGAAAGGGACTTGGTGGAGTCAAGGCAGTCCTTGAGGAAGGTACGGATAAATGTGGAAGGTAGTATGGTCCCATACTACTGAAAGCAAAGGATACATACCTAAACTGAGGAAGGCTAAGACAAGACCATGGAACTTGTAGTGGATGTGATCCCTCGAGATGTATTGTGTCACACCCCCAAACCAGAACAACGGAAATGTTCGGGGGCGGAGGACGTCATATTCAGTATAATAACAATTGCATAGTAAGGAAACTACACACCACCAAATATATAAATATTTAAAAGTGTTTACATAATCGTAGTTGTTACATATTCAAAATATAAATACAATAACAGGTTTTGAAAGAAGTCGTTAACACCAGAACGTTAATCCCCAAAAGATGGTTTCCAAACCTGCTTAGCAGTTCCCTGAGAATACAAGTTATTTCAAAGAAAAAGTGTCAACAATTAAGTTGGTGAGTTCATAAGCAGTTTTGAGAAAATGTATGCCATTCCAAAGTTCGCGCGTTTTCCAAGAAAATACCTTATTTTCTTATAAAAGTATGAAATGCATATGAATGTTCATGTTGTAAATTGTAAATAGTTGCACCAGGAAAATCCCTTATTTTCCTATTAGTTGATTGTTTTAGATGCAGGAAAATCCCTTATTTTCCTAACGTAATAGGCAGTCTCTAAGACCAAAAATCGCAAGCAACTGTCATGCTTAAAGGTTGAGGCATAGATTTATATATTAAAGATATAAGAATTGTTAGATGAAGAATAGTTTAAATAACTACTCGTTCATAAATTCCGAATACCATATTAATTGTCTATCCAGTGAGTTTTATAACCATACTAAACATAATATGCCTGTGGCAACGGTCTTCAGTAGAGGTGGCAAAAGTTGACACAACACGAAACCCGACACGAACCCGACACGAAATAAACGGGTTTGGGTAAGATATTTCAACCCGTTTAAATAAATGGGTTGACACGACACGACACGAAAATTAAACGGGTAAGGTTAGGGTTGAGAATTCAACTCGAATATGACTCGAAAATGACCCGTTTATTTATATGCAAGTTTTTTGAATTATTTAAATAAACTAGAAAGATACAAAACCAAAACCATAAGTAAAAGAAAACCTTCGAATTGAGTCGTTTTGTAATGTTGAAATGACTTAGCCATCTAGATCAAGATTTAATTTCAGTTTTTCCATTCTCTCCCAAACTACCCAGTCTCTTTCACCACTCTCACATCCTCACGACCTTTTCATCCGCCTCCCCAATTCCCATTCTTTTAATTTTGGCATCTAAACTTGCTATGACTTCATCTATTCTGCCTCCAAACTATTAGTTTTTCCTTTCCGCCTACCCAACTCCTACTCTTTTAACATGCTCAATCTTTTAACCTCACATGACACGACATATTTCAAGTTATAGCCCTAACCCGAAACCCGACACGAACTCAACACGAAAGTAAACGGGTTGACACGACACGACACGTTAATTAAATGGGTCGGGTTAGGTCAAGC